TCTATAGGTAACATTTAATTAACACGCAAAAAAAGAACGTTAAACTTTAATACTGCTTTAAATTTCTAACCATCTGTAACAAAAAAATTTCAATGTATACTTACAGAGATTTCATTACAAATTACGTATGGCACAACGTTTATCTTATGCCCACAAATTATTGTTATCGGGAAAAAATTACTTCCAGTTCTCTAGAGTAGAATGTTAACTTAATACTTACTATTGCTGTTCGTCAACAAGATAATAAAAATATGTTTAACACTTATTTAAGTCTGGAATCTAAATGCGGTGGAGCAACCAAGTAACCCGAAAGACTTTTTTGCCTTATTTTTAAAGCAAATAAGTTTTACTTAAAGAACTGTTAGTTGAAGTTCAGTGTATTAATTTGGAACTAATTTTTTAGCGTATTTAGACAATTGGCGATTATTAGCGGATATTTCTGCATTAGTTCCCAGGAACCAACATAAATTGTAATACCTAACATTATCCATAAAATGCTCAGTTTTGAAACATCCAAATTTGTCTATTAAAATTGCGATGGTTACCGCTGTAGGGCAAAATTGCCATCGCAAATCCAAATTTCGGCCCAAGCCAAGGCACACGTTTTAAAATAGAAATGGTTAAAACATGGAAAAATATTTCAAAAAAAAATTAAGCGATAACAACTTAGTATGAAAATGATATTTCGAAGAGTATTCTAAACACTACTTGAAGTTTTTTAAAATAAAGCGCTACAATACTATTTCGAAAAGTTCTAAGCTCTCCTCTATGTTATAGTACAAAAAAAATGTTTTTGAGAGACTGTGTTTTTGTGTTCATAACGGCCCGGTTCGTTATTTACCTATATTCGTGTTCTTTCACTTATAACCAAATAATCATAAATCTCTTCTGTGATCCGGTTCGAGTGATAGTAGCGATGGACTGTATGGACCACGCCTAGTCACGCGAAAATCTAGCTTCGAGCTTGTATTGAGATCGAGGATATCTACATAAAAGCATAGGCGTTGCCAATCAGCCGAAAAGGTAAACTTTAAAAGATTCCTTCGTAAAGTTCTATCTAAGCTTGGAAATAAGAATCAAAATACATGTACCATTTAATGTGGTGCTTTAATGATCCTAATAATCTAAACTGATCGATATTTAGACAGCCGCAGCTAAATTGTAGAGTGAATGGAAATTAATTTAAAATGAAACACTTTTTCAAACGTGAAAATTATTGTTGTTTTGCATTTATTGTATTTCCGGACAATTTACTATTTATTTCTTGCCCTTGGTCCGTATCATCTTGCTATGTATATAAATATATAAACGTAACAAAAACAAAAAGGAAACTACAACTGTGAGACTGCTTTATGCATAATAGCAAAGCGTTATAATAGCAGCAAAATATATATTTTACAACTACCTAATTATCACGTAATTACGTTTCCCATCTTTTTCTAACTAAACTCTCTGTCACAGTCTAAACTACGTCAATTAAAGTATTGGTAGCATTTTCTTTGTGAAGCGCCGACGTGAAAATTAATTGTGCGTATTTCTATTTTAATAATCAAGCCCTGAAGCTACAGCACGAACTACAATAGATCTCTTTTAGTCATTATACATATATTTATGGGTCGATGAATCCGTATTTAAGATTTTTCAAGAACCTTGGTGTTCAGAGGAGGTCTGATCATAATAATATGTTCAGAATTGATTAAAAAACATCATCAAATAACAATGAAGCTGAATTCGCATTTAAATTGATAGCGGTATTTGGAAGGGAAAGAATTATTAAACTAATATTTAAAACTTGCGACTTGTGCATTAAACCGTTAATTATGACTATCACACGAAATAAAATTTTTATGAAGCAATTTAAATTTTAAACTTTTATCTTTGAAGACGACCCACTGTTTTTGGCTGGAACGTACGCAAAGAGTAATGAAAAAAATGTGTTATTACCGTTTGATTGAGTGCAAAAATCACCCCAAAAAAACTTAGTTCACATCCGATGTATCCGTATCGCCATTCATCGATTGTTAATATTTGTATCGATGGCGTCAGAACCTATTAGAAAACTTACTTAATTTAATCTACAATTGGTTTTTTCAAATCTATCCGAAAATTTGTTGCTTACTTTTGGTTAGTTTAACAGTTTAACTGACCATTTACTCGATTCCAAAATGGACTGCAACACGTATTAAGAATTTGGGGTGTGACTCCAGGGATTAACGGTGTGCGGCCAACGCCACTGACCGCCCGCAATAATATAACAGCACATGCCGACAACGTAAAATGCGGACCAACCGCTCAGGCTGGAATTAGAAAGGCCTAGATGTTATAGTCACGACTCTCTCGCGAGTTTGTCACGGGTATCTGACGCGGACGCTTTATAGTACTATCTATCAGTTAACATGCAATTTACTTCCTCAAGTTATCAACTGGCGGGATCGAGAACCGCGCCTTTAGCTCGATAATTTTTTGCTGTCCGGCTTTCCATCAATTGTCATTGAATTAATGCGAATCCCTAATGACGTTATTTTTCAAACACCCCACACACACACGGGAACCAGTTTATGGCAAGTCCGACCCCATATCTTGTTCACATAAACCATATATTTCGTGCTCCAACAATATCCTTTTATAGACGCCGTTTTTACAATTACAAAATAAATTATAAACAATTATTCAGGCTGACCAGTCCATTATCATTATATGAATGTAAGGCTCCAGTCGGTGAAAGCCCATTTCAATTAGAAATGTTTAATAAGCAGTCCCTAGAAATTTCAGGATTGCTCAGAAATTGAGGTTGGGATCTTAGCTTTATAACTAGCATTAGCGTCGACGACTATAGTCTTTAAGATTTTCTATTGCGCCTTTGTCAGTTCAGTAGCAAGGTTTCGTCTCATTTTTATAAAACTCACATTGAGAAGTTAGAAAATGTTTAAAGCACTTTTTAAGTATTGCGGCACACAGATTAAAAGTACCCAAAAGTCAGATTAACGAATCTGTTGTTAATTTGTGATATCGACTACAGTATTGTTCTTTCTTAGAATTAATAATAGGACCCGGTCAAAGGACTTATTTTATGTTCCATCTAATAATACTAACTTTCACTTGATCAGTCCGTTGGTTCGTTTGCAACCACTGAATAAGTTTCTGGCAGTGTAATAAATACTAAAAATAGTTTAAAGTATGCACGACCTACTTAGTTTAGTTAGTTAAGTTCTTGAAGTACTATAATTATTTTTTATTTGATTTGCTTTGTAAAACGGTGTAATGACGCAATAAATTACGTTTCAGAATCAGCAAATTACAAGCAAATGCCTTTTTATATTTCATAGGCTTTGTTTGGTTCTACAATGAACTAGTCCATGTGGCATCAGAATTAAACCATCAGGTTTTCATTGAAATATTGATATTGAAAATTTGATTTTAATATTATTACCTATATAGGAAACAACACACTCATTGATTGCTTTGTTATTTGTGGTTAGATTCCTGTTAGAGCAAGAATTAAAAATAATGAAAAAATATAATATAAAATAGTAAAAAAGACACAAACAAGAATTTCTGTTACGGTCGAATTTACTTCGGTTTGGCAATATAGTTTTCTGTTTAAATAATAATAATAATATATTCTAAAAACAGTAGTAAAATACTGTAGAGAATCAAAGTTATTAGATAAGTCAACACTTCCATACGGACAATATCGAAAATTCAAATTGCAAACCCGACCATTTGTAATTCCAAATTTGAAGCCAAACGAACCGTCCAAAAAATAAATCTGTTATATATGAACGGCCCGTGGTCGCCGACATTCTAGCAGATCCGTTGAATGTAAGAGAACCACGACAGTCTGGACCTAATATGGCAGCGATGAGAATCAGATACATGTAATGGGATATTTATGTTTGGCGAAAAAGATTACCAAACGTCGTAAATAAATGTATGAATGCGCTCGAAGTATGGTCACGGTATCGAGCATAGAATATTATGTACTAAACAGAAGACCGATATACAAACGACTTGAGCTATGTTGTGCTTGGTGTTCTAATAATATTTAAAACAAAAGTTTTCCAACATCTAAACAAGCAAAAATTTCAGACATCTGTTTTCTAGTAATTTTTTTCTTTATACAGTGCGAGGGATGTTTTTGTATTTGGTTCAAAATTCGTATAGAGCTATAGAGGTCGAAAAATATTGATGTTAAACGATTTTCCATTAAAAAATTCAAACAATTATCAAAAAAGTTTTTTGAAGAGCATTGCTTCTATTCTATAAACGAATTTGTTACACATCAGATATAGTAGATCTAAGTTATATTATAAATTAATTATTCTTAGAGTGCACCTATATATACAAAGTTTTACTTTCTGGTTACACTGGTATCGAGCATAGAATATTATGTACTAAACAGAAGACCGATATACAACCGACTTGGGCTATGTTGTGCTTGGTGTTCTAATAACATTTAAAACAAAAGTTTTCCAACATCTAAAGAAGCAAAAATTTCAGACATCTGTTTTCTAGTAATTTTTTTCTTTATACAGTGCGAGGGATGTTTTTGTATTTGGTTCAAACTTCGTATAGAGTTATAAAATGTAATTCTAAACACTTTTTTTCAAATAACAACTGCCGATATTTTTATTTAATTCCGCTTCTCGCTTATTAGATCGAATTTTTCGAATTTGCACATACATTATATGTTGGGGGACAATTGTCTTAATCATAGTGAAGTAAATACAGTTTAAATTACTTCAACATCACTTTCAACAAATACATTTCCAAAAATTTATGGAATATATATATAATATAAAGTTCTGAAACAAAATACAAATGTCATGAACATGAAAAAAAATTGCCACAATTAGAAAAGATACAATTTCAATTTCAACAATTTTACAATAAGATCTCGAAAAGTAGGCTAAACCACATTATATTTGAACATAAATTTCACAATATTATAAATATTTAAACTTCTCTTTTTAGAATTGTTGTAGTTTTTACGAACTTACCGATTTCTTGTCTTTACTGACAATTTCCAGAGGCGCCTGTATGCTCGGCTTCCCTAGATACCAATCTTCTCTGGGGTTGTAATCTCCCAGGAAACGCACCAGTCGGGGAACGTTCACATAATTATCGTCATCGAAGTGGCAAAACCATCTGCAAGGAAAATATATTCGTTACAATTAAAATTGATGAATAAAATAATAACAAAATTCACAATAAATACCACGGGCATTTTATTTTCATTGATTCATATAAAAATTCCATTATTTTGACTCATATTATTAATGCGGAATGGCAGCGCAATATTATTTGTTCATCTCCTAGATTAAAACGATGTGCGATATACTTCTTTCTAAACTTGAATACTAAGGAATTCGTGAAAATACCCTAGCCCTGTTAAAATCTTATTTGATCGGAAGCAAGCAATATGTTGTCTGGAATTATCGGGAATCCACTCTGTTGGACATTATTAATGGAGTGCCTCAGGGTTCCATCCTTGGTCCACTTTTGTTTATAATATACATAAATGACGTAGTATTAGCAACAAATGCTGCTTGCAGTATACTCTATGCGGATGACACATCATTGATTGAATAGGAGAAAAATGTAACTAATTTAAATAAAAAGGCTGTCACTACACTCTCCGTGATCGAGCAGTGGTTCTCGGCAAATAAACTTAAATTAAATTCAGATAAAAAAAAAGACTCTAATTTTCAATACCAATAGAAGAAGAAGAAAAAAACGGAACCGGTCAAACTGCACTGTTTCATAGTGTCTTATCATATAGGCATATAGGCTACTATTGTGGGGGAACGCTACGGAGATTGCAGAAGTCTGCGGTTCGGGTTCTTGGGGGTGTTCCGCCGTCCAGCCACTGCCGCCCAATATTCAAAAAATTGATAATGTATGTTTAGTCTCCAAACTTTAGTTGAAATCCACTCAATTTTGTCTGTCTTTCCGACTCATGCTGGATATCACAGCTACATGACTCGAACAGCTGACAATATCATAACATTAAGATCGAGGTTGTGTAATACATAAAAAAAAACTTAATCTAGATTTGTATAATATTTTTGCAAACATTCTTCTTAGGTCGAAAAATAATGATGTTAAACGATTTTCCAATAAAAAAATTCAAACAATTATCAAAAAAGTTTTTTGAAGAGCATTGCTTCTATTCTATAAACGAATTTGTTACACATCAGGCATAGTAGATCTAAGTTATATTATAAATTAATTATTCTTAGAGTGCACCTATATATACAAAGTTTTACTTTCTGGTTACACTGGTTTAACTGTTTATATGTAATATATTTATCTTGTTTGTACTCTTCCTGACTTCAAAAATACATTTTTGTATTTATAAGTGGTCAATAAACGATTATTTATTTATTTATTGTGATTGTTATTGTTATTATTATTATTATATTTTTTTATTTTATTTATGTTTTTAAACTAAAGGCTACGTTTTCGAATACCTGACAAAATTGAAAAACAAAAAATCCAAATTTCAGATACATTTTCAAAAAACTCAGTGTCGCACATTATATTTACGCAATAGGTAAAGAAAATTAAATTTAACGACATCGAAAAATTGCTGTTGATGCTAGTTAATTGATGTTGGATGCTTGGCGTGCTAAAATACAGAGGGAGTCATAAAAAAATTCTTAATATTCTAAAACCAATTTCTTCTTTAAATTGCCTTAGGACCCTTGCGGATTTTATATCTAAGGAAGTAAATTACAACATTTTATCTTGGCAGTGAATCATTATTTTAAGTTTCCTAGGTTTTCCTATCTCTTATCTTTGCTGTTCATTTCATATTTACTAGGGCAATCTTTACGTTTCCACTTGTTTTATTTCTCCTTTTCTGATTGATTTCAAGGCCTAAAATTAGTATCTCCTAAAGCATTATAGCATTATAGGCATCCAATTGTTGTTTGTCCTGTTTGGGTAGTATCCGTGGGAGTAATTTTCCCTTTTTGTTCGTTCTATAGGTCTATTATCTTATGTTCTTTTCAACAAACCAACTGCTTGAATTGCAATTTATTAAGTCCTTTCTAAGTTTAGTACATTCCCTTCTCAATTTTACCAGCGCTCTATCCATAAATACTTTAAATAAAATAATGACTAAAATCGTCGCCGATTGTTAAAAATAGCAATACGAAATTAAACATATAACTTTAACATCAAATATGCTTTAATCACTTTCTAAAGTAAATGGTTGCAAGCAAAAGCTTTGGTTAACATATTGACGTTCCAAATAACAACATTTTCAGAGATTACGTTTTAGCGCTCTCCGTGCAAACTTTGCATTCAAGATCTCCTCAAGCGGACGTTTAATATTCAGACACCACTTTACTTTTGACCTAATCTAAATACACACGTCTCGAAATTTCTATTCGCTTTAATCCGATTTTCTATCTGTCCGCACCAGGAGTTTGAAACGATACCGCTTCAGGCATTTCCATTTTGCCATCGTTTCTCATTTTATTATTTTGCGTAATGCGACGAATATTCCCCTGGAAGTTGTCGCGCTTTTCAATCGTAACTACATCATTTTTCATGAATGAGATAGATTTAGTTACATCCACGATCATCACGGTCCGTTTTACGAGATGCTTTATTTCTATGGCGAGCTTTAAGCTCAATGCAAATCTATTTTGAATTTAGATTCAAATGGGTTTTAAACCTTGTCTCATGTACATATTAATAAATATATCATACACCAACATTGAAAAGCTTTACTGGAGTCACTGAATATTACATGTGTTAGCCATAAAGAGGTTCGTTAGAAGCATAACTTTCATGCAACGGTTGTACTTCATATGCTGTTGGAACGGCAAAGATTAAACCCAAGCTGAGATTATGTACATGATATTTTCATTTTTTTGACCATCAATCGAATGACCTTTATTCACTACCATGTAACAAAACTGTCTAACTAAAACTAAATTGCAATAACCTATCGTAAACCAACTAACAGAAGAACCAACTCCACAAGGGACCTAGAAGAAACACATTCGTTTCGATTGCATACAAGCCAATACAAAACTTTTTCAAAGGCAAAACCAAATAACAAATTAAGAAATAGAATTATGAGATTCCTAGATTACAGAGACAAAGGGGCGAAAGGCTCCCTGTAAGGCTTAACGGGCTTAGGGAAATATTCAAAGAAAAGTATATGCTTGCGCTATTTTAATTAATCACTTGTCAGAGGGATGTCTTCAAGAACTCCGCACACATTCCTGTCGTTTGAGCTTGTCTCGTAGGTAAGTGCACAAAAATCTGACTGAAAACCAATATCCACAACAGATCTTAAGAAACAGACATCAAACTTTTGCAAGAAATGATACGGATCGGGACATGGATCAGTGAGGACATATGTACGTTTGGAGGAGTAGAAGTTAGTGATAGTTTCAATTAAATATTAAATTAATACATTTCAGCGAGGGGTCCATTATGATCTATGGAGAAATGTCTTTACTAGAGAGCAAAAATTTAACTGTGTTTCGAGATGGAATTGTTAATGCTAATGCCTGCCTTAGGAGACTTTGTCCTTCAAGACGACAATGCCAGATTGAAGAGGAATACAATATGAAGTTTTGAAATGACCGGAAGATATTCTTCAGAGAAGTGATCGCCAGGCTGCTGAAAATTTAGATTTAGCAAAAATGCTGGAATCGAACATTATCCAATTAACCAGAAGCGGACGCCAGTATTATTAAGTGTTTTAACTTTAACTTGTTGTAAAAAAAATGTTCTACTCCCATATGTAAAGCGTCACTTTACCACGTCAGTTTCGCTTCCCACGGATCCGAGCCACTTCGGACATTTCCGCGATTGTACCGCACGGGTTTTTCTAACGGTCGTAGAAAAAGTATATTATGCAACCACTGGGAATGCTGAAGCTAGCATTTCTTGTAGTCATCAGCATATTTTATCACATAATTAACACGTCCGGAAAACTTTTTAAGTCACTCATTCATTAAAACACTCGCCCCGCTCGTGTCAAATAAACTCGTAAGTCAAATGCCGTTTACCGCACTTGTTGCATAATATACTATTTTCTACTCCCGTCTGTAAAATGCCTAATTACACACCGATCTAGCGTGCGGGAAGCGTCACTTTACCACCTCGATTTCGTTTCCTACGGATCCGAGCCACTTCGGACATTTCCGCGACTTTACCGCACGGGTTTGGGAGCAATCGGATGTTTTAGGAGATATTTCCCACACCTTGAATTTTGACGTTTGTCAATATATTCGTGTTGTTTTGCGAAAATGTACCCAAAAACTAACGGTCGTAGAAAAAGTATAGTATGCAACACGTTCGGTAAACTTTTAGTAAAATGCCGTTTACCGCGCTTGTTGCATAATATACTATTTCTAAAAGTGTAGAATTTTTGCTATTTCAACAATAATTTTATATATTGATACTAGAATTCTTATGCGGTTTGCCCTTCGACTGCCTGACTGGGTGAGAAGTAGAAACGGTATTTGGTATTTTTCCATATCCATTCATGCATTATCATGTTTTGCTAACAATTGTGGCGAGAAGCCTGAAGTTTCTCGGGGACTTTGGTCACGGGTTGGAGATCGATCGGTTGTTTTCAGATGACTGTTATACATCTCACTCCGCTCATGTCAAATCAAACTAGTGACCGAAATAGCGAGTTTATAAAGAAATATTAATACTTGACTTGACTTTGATAAAGGATCCACTGTTAAATGGTCGTCAGTCTTTACCCTACCAGTTGTATTAATTACCTTCCATCGCGTACTAGATGTAACCCTGACTTTACGCCTTGTCTAACGCAATTAGAAAAATCAAAGGATCGCCGCCTGCGATCTCCGGCAGATCGATCATTATTTTAACGGGTCGCTTCTGCCCCGCCGTATTTGGTAAATTGCCCCGCCACATTGCAACGTCATGTTCGAGTTCGAGAGCAAGAATTACGGTCGCGCAGCAAACAGAATCCGGTGTCATTTGCATTGCCGCGGGATTTCAAATCGCTACGCACGAATTACTAATCGATTCTTTGGGACACTTCCGTCTGTTTAGACTTAATTATTGCTCTATTCTCCGACTCAATATATTCGATTTCATTACGAGCATAAAACATGCCCTAGTTAAACCTAACAAGACCGAAGTCGGTCGTCGCTTTCTGCTTGTCACCGAATCGTCGGTTACATTAAACATCCCCATTTTCTTATTGTATTGTGAATGTAGCGGCATCGCAAAAAAGCGGCTTGTAATAGGATTCCTTTATAAATAACAACAGCTTTAAAAATTCTTTGTAACAATAACATTTATAATAATCTAACAAATTGATATACTTAGAAATTCAAATGCTTAAGTCCTGTTTTAAATAAAGTAAATACGTAAAAACGGCCCAGGTCTAATAGTTATTGCTTTGGCATTTTAAAATGTTTGACTTTTAGACCTCTATCAATACTATTTATAAATCTTCTGAATTCCTCCTGTGTCGGTTGATGATAAATCATACTTGATGACGTTTCGCCAGTCATTCTGTTGAATTCTGTTGAATCTCGGAGAAAGTTTGATTTATCAACAACCGACGCAGGCGGAATCCGGAAGATGAAAAATTTACTTGTATCAACAATTGACACCATGCACTTACAGGTATGGTCTGTTTATAGATATAAGAAAGTGACCAATTTCTTTTGAACGGATTATCTAAGGGTAGTCATTAACATGTAATGCAACAAGATTATTCCCAATTAATTAATAATAATAATCTTGTTGCACTGTATGTTAATGACCACCCTTGGATAATCCGTTCAAAAGCAATTGGTCACTTTCTTATATCTATGAACAGATAATACCTTTAATCAGTAGTCAAAATATGGCACAACCACTTAGTTCATAGAAGGACAAACGATTAAAATGATTAAAAAAATACAATCTCTTATTACACTTATCTGCCATCGGTTGGTGTATATACGCGCATCGCCAAGAAAATAATCGCCAACATTACCCTAACCATTTCAGTTTCGATCGACTTCACTATCTAATGGTATTTTGGGTGGTCTGTTACATCACTAGGTTTTTTTGGTTTTGGTTAGTTGTTTTTTGAAGTGGAATTTATTGTAATTTATTTCAAGAGTATCTATTTTCAAGTACAAGTTTGCGAAATATGTTTTTTTCTCGCACGTGCGTGTTAAACATCCAAATCCGCCATGTAATTGAAACCATTTCACAAACAGTGGAGGGTTCGCTTTAAAAATAATGATACCCTAAATTCAAATAATCCCGTTTTCCTACGTTCCGATTAATCAATCACTGATCAGATATATCCTCCCCATTTATTATATCATCCGTTTAAGACCACGAGAATGCATCAAATTAAAAAAGATCTTTCGTTCTTCCAAGGATTTATCTCTAAGTAAACATTTATGTGCATAAAGACCAAATTAAAGAAATCGAACTTCTTTAATCATTATTATTACTTGTTAATAACATTTTACAAAAGTTTTAGCATGTTCAACAACAAACTGCATTCTTCGGTATGAAAAAATTATAACTATTTTCATTTTACTTTATCGTGAATACAACAAATTTAACACATGTTTGCAACTTCATTTTGAAGGTATCGTCAATGGAAATAAATCCTAATAGACATACATTTATATATCATTCTGCTCCTCTACAAATTATCTACTTTGCTACAAAAACTTTTAAAATATATTTATAAAGTAAACCACTCTCTACATATTCGTTCGAAATATTAGCTACATATTTTTGCACCATTTATCGAAGGAAGAGCAGTAGTGCTGGGTACCTGAAGATTTATTTACTTAAAGTATTTGTTTAGCTGGATGAACCCTCATTAGGATTCATATCTTGGTTCCGGCGAATGACTTATATATTAAGGGATTTGCATTGGCTTTTATTCTTTAGAAAATAATATAATGTAGGATAAAAAGATTCAAAATTTGACAAAAACTGAAGAATTCGATTTATGGTCCTACTGATGTAATTTGAAAATTTCCGCACCGACAAACCGCTTCGATTTGTAATGGGCTCAAGAAAAAAAAGACAAACGATGTCGGTGATGGTATTCTGATATATAAATAACCGCGTCCAGCGCAACTACCAAATAAATTTCGATCGTAAAAAGATCTGACTTTTGACTGATGAGCGGTCAAATGTAGATCTGTTATTAGATTAATGTTTCCAGCCTAAAGCCGGTGGCATCTATCGCAACGGATCTGATCAATCAGTCAATCAATGAATGATTTTATAAAATGTCGGTCTTTGTTTCGCGGTTCAGTTTAGTGCGTAGAAACTCAGGTGATCAAACAAAGCAACTAACTATAGTGCATTCAATAATCAAAATCTCTATAGCGTGTGAACGACCGATATCGTAACTATTGGTGGACTATTTTTTTTCGAGATAATTTGTGGTTAATTTGTTTGTAACGATAATTATCATAATTCACAGCAGTATATAACCGAAAATTCGCCCGTGGTTGTTTCAATAATTCCGGTGTATTCGTTTGGAACAGATCGATAGGTGGCAACTTGATTATCGATATGACTTCCACAGTGGTACTTGAACAAGATCAGTTTGATGTTTACAAAGACGCAACTACGGGAGAGACCTTGTCGGTGACACGGTTTACCTGGAAGAATTCTTCGGGAATCCAGGTTCAGGTGATCACGTACGGCGGTACGATTACTTCTATCAAATTGCCCGACAAGAATGGAACCATAGATGATATCGTTATGGGTTTTGATGATATGAAAGGTATAATTCATTTTACATAATATACCCTGTCCCAACTAGCTCATAAAGGCAAACTTACGATGGCGGTTACATTGGAAAAATGTTGTCAGTTTTAAAGCCTGTTAAAAACTCATTTTTTACATTCTCAAATTTCCGTTAGTTTCTGAAATTCGACTTTTTACTTTCGAGATACCGTTATCAACTTCAATTTTTTTAACACGGACCTCCATGTTTTTCAGATTTTGTTTTTTTTTTTTTGGGTATCGTAAAAATGTTTTTTTTTGCAGCTTTTTCTAAATACTGCCATTTTGCAGAGGAGAAAAGGTTGCTAATGGCAATGTGTAACTTTAACCGTTACCGATATAACAATACTTTGTATTCTAAATTTACTAACTAATCAAACTTTAAGAAAAGTTGTTAGAAATCCATTTTTAAAACCTCTTTGACCATTCGGCACTTTTAGAAATGGGGTAGAGAGATTTTTTTAATTTAAACACGTTCGGCAAAGTCAAAGTAGCAAAATAACCAGATTATATCAAAATATGAAGAAAAACAAATGAAAGTTGCCACAAAAATTTATCGCAATAGTAGATACAAAATTTGTAATAAATTCAAAGAAATTGGTATCTTGAATTTTCAGACGAAAAGCTTCGCAAATTGTACAACGTGCCAAAAGCTGATGATTTTGTTGTTTCATTTTGCAGTTTATTCTAATTTAAATATAATTTAAAGACATTTCTAAAATTATTTACAAAACTTCTGGATTTCTTCAGCGTCGGTTGTTGTTGAACCAAACTTGCTGACGTTTCGCCAATCATCCTGTTGGTCCCTTCAGGACTGAACTGTTGCCATTCTGTTGGCTTCTTCAGTTTCGGTTAAGCTGTGAAGAAGCCAACAAGATGATTGGCGAAACGTCAGCAAGTTCGATTCATCAACAACCGATGCAGGCTTTATCCAGAAGTTATGTAAGTAGTATTACAGTAGCCTGTGGAAATTTCTTTAAAAAATATTTCCAACATATTTGTTGCATTTTAATATATTTCACATGTGGCATGTGGTTTCCAGCAAGCACTTTTCTAAATTTTAATAAATAATCTTATTTACGAATTTTTTCAACGTTTGATAAATAATACACACGTTCTCAAAAAGCTTTGGTCAGTTTTATTATAAGAATTTTCTTTTAAAACTACAAATGTATCTTGTAATGTGAAGAGAATTGCAAAGTTTATTCCAACAATTTAACCCGATTTTTGATTTTAGGCTATTTGGATGCGTTAAATCCATACTTCGGAGCCACCGTGGGAAGAGTGGCCAATCGCATAGGTGGCGCTAGTTTCACAATAGACGGAGTGACTTATAACGTTACTGCGAATGAAGGAAAAAACATTCTTCACGGTGGGCTCAAGGGTTTCGATAAGGTTTGTTAAATTATTGTCTCGTCCTTCCCGCTAACTAGAAATTCCCTAAGGTCAACTGGAACTACTACGTCTCGGGCAACAAGGTGATTCTAAGTTACCTCTCCAAAGATCAGGAAGAAGGTTTTCCCGGTGACGTCATAGTCAATACAACTTACGAATTAACGGACGACAACAGGCTTTTGGTCGACTACCAAGCGACCACCAGTAAACCGACCTACGTGAACCTAACTAACCACTCTTACATCAACTTGGCCGGTCACAATACCGGTTCCGAAGAACTATACAAACACGTAGTATCCGTCAACGCTGATTACATAACCGAAGTAGATGCTGAGTCCATTCCGACTGGTGACTAAACAATTTCTACTAATTTATTGCTAGTTTGCTAATATGAGATTGATTATCCAGGTAACCTTCTGCCTGTTGCTGGTACGGTGTTCGATCTCCGGATACCCAAAACTCTTAGTGATGTCATAGACAAGGTCCCCGGATATTCTGGCTTTGACCACAACTTCTGCGTCACTAAGGGAACCACCCAAGAAAACACTTTTATGGCAAGGGCTGTTCATCCGACAAGTGGTACGTATATCGGTTTTGTAATGTTTCGCGATAACGAAGTTAAATCAATACACAGCTAGAGTCATAGAGGTCTACAGCAATCAGCCGGGGGTGCAGTTCTACACCGCCAATAACATTCCGGCCAAGACTGCAGCACAAACCATCACCGGCAAAGGAGGAAGTAAATATTACGAGCATGGGGCTTTGTGCTTTGAAAATCAGAACTATCCTGATGCTATCAACCACGTGAGTACATTCAGGCTAGAAATTATAATTGACAAGGCCAAACACTAATCGGACTTTGTAAAACTGCCGTCGTATTCAATTTTATTTATTTGGCCACATTTTTGATTAGTCTTTTTATGTTTAAATCGATTTGGCCTAACACAAGAGTGGTTTAATTAGTAATATATACTCCACCTTACTTGAAATTACTGAATGTGTACTAATTTTATTCTGAAGACTTTCATTTTGTTTACAGAAAAATTTCCCCCCTGCAGTTCTATATCCAGGACAAATCTACCATCGCACATTTGAATATAGATTTTTCGTCAACCAATAAATCTCTGCAGAAAGGAAATATGGCAAGGAATCAACAATACGTGAACTTTATATATTAACATATTGTAATAATCAGCAAAGAAATACAATTTTTAAAACTTACGCGTTTCGATTGAATAGACATCCGCAATCAATATAAATTACCTAGCGCAAAAAAAATATTTTCCATTGCACCGACACAGATAAACAAAAACGTATCATCATGTTTTAAACTGCGATAAAACTTAATGAAGTAATCGAGGCTACAACAATTCAAGTTCATGAGCCCGATAAACAATCAGTGGTGTACGCTTACTTTTGGTTTGTTAAACTTTATTACTGTAATTATATTATGAACTTCATTACCTACTTCGGATTACCCTATAGCTTTGAAGCAGTATGTTTTGAAATACCTCTTATCGATCATTAATTCAAATAACTTAATATTGGGCATGGAGAAATATTATTCTCCTAGATTTGTTTTACTCATTTTTAAACCCAAGCTCTAGGGGTACATTCTCAGAAAGTTTTACATCGTTCATCGAACTACTAAAAACAGAACTACCGGTCCTTTCAGTAAGGTACCACACCACTGGTTGCGTTTACGACTTCTTTCGCGATATGACGATAAGCGGCTGCAAAACAATGATCCAGTCGTTCGGGACATCGACAAAAATGAGCTTCGTCTCGTTAAGCGAAAACGATTTCGGTATTTTAAATACCAAAAATGGGGAAAGAAAAACGATTAAAAGGTTCACCTGGACGAATTCGCAAAATGTGTCCGTGCAAGTAATCACCTATGGCGGTACCATTACTACCTTGAAAATACCTGACAAACACAAAAAAGTAGAAGACGTGGTGATGGGATTTGATGATTTGAATGGATACCAGAGCGATATGAACGCTTATTTCGGTTGTACCGTCGGAAGGGTGTGCAACAGAATAGCAAATGGGAAAATGGTAAGTAAGGTCTTTTTCATTTCAACATCACTATGTTACGTGTTTTATTATTCTGCTAAAATATCTTTCCAATCAACAAATTAACTCCTCCAGTGGTCCGCGATAGTTCAAGATGCTTCCTCAATAACCTAACACAAGAAATGTTGGATGAAACCTACCGAGTCCGATTTAACCCGCGGAACTTTGCATCGTTAAATCCTTATAACCTTAAATCCCTAGAAACTTTTACAACTATTTCGAGCACATTATTTAAAATTAACTACCCAAAAAACTTAATAAAAATATTTGTCCTTAACATTTGTCAAATTGCAAATTGCAAAATGATCATTGTGCCATTCACTTTAGTCAACCTCTGTCACGTCTATGACCACTTATTCCTTTATCAATATTCAAACAAATTCGATAGCAGTGCGCATATATCGGCCAGAACTTATTTCTTAAGAAAACGTCTTCTGGCGACAATGAGCTGCTCTAAAGTCGGTGGTTCCTGCTGCAGAAGAGCAGTAACCCTAACGGTCGATGACTTTGGGTTCGTCAAGACAAATACCGATGAAGGTAACGGCATAAAAAGGTTCACCTGGACGAACGCAAACACCAAATCGTCCGCCCAAGTGATTACTTATGGAGCCATCATCACCAGTCTTAAATTTCCTGACAAAGACGGCAATGTAGAGGATATAGTGTTCGGTTTTGATTCTGTCGAAGAGTACCAAAGCGTTAAAAACCGGTACTATGGAGCTACTATCGGGAGAGTAGCTAACAGGATCGCTAAAGGCAAAATGGTGGAAACTCCTTCCTTACCTTATGAAAATTTTCTTATATTTCTTTATTTTCAGACACTAGATGGCAAAGACTACACGCTGGCCACCAACAATGGAGCAAATCACCTCCACGGCGGTATCCAAGGATTCGATAAAGTTGTGTGGGACTCGTACGTCAGAGGGAACAAGGTTTTTCTCACCTATCATTCTAAGGACATGGAGGAGGGATACCCTGGAGATCTTATCGCCACGGTATCGTTCGAGCTGACCAAAAACAACGAATTCTTGGTAGATTACAAAGCCGTCGTCACCAAACCTTCACCGGTAAACCTCACCAACCACTCCTATTTCAACCTAGCCGGACATGGAAAGGGTTCCGAAGAGTTGTACAAACATCAATTTACGGTTAACGCAGACCGTATCACCGAAGTTGATTCGACCGGTATTCCAACAGGTAAATAATTCTTGACAAAGTCAACTACTCGTTAATTATGTAGTAAGCGACCCTCAACTTTGCACTTTAGAAGTCTTAAGTAAGCTATATGGTGCGAGGTGGTTTTATTGAAGTTTTGAGAGTTGCGCTCTGCAGTTTCAAAGTTCAGAACTATTTCGGCCACATAGGTTTAGCCTGGGGCGCGAATAATATAAGATTAAATATCTTTTCCAGGGAATATCTTGCTAAAAGTCTGCCACTTAATGGTAATATAATAATCAATAGATAAAGGTCGTGGCTGTAAAAATAAAATGGCATCAATTATGTACTAAAAAAAGAAAAATAGAGTAGAGTTAAAAACCACCATAGTTTTTACTAAGATGACCCAAAAAGTAGAATTTCCTCTTGATCTCAACCTATACAAATTTATTTATAAGCAGCGGTTTTCTCTTTAAAACTCCTCTAATGTACTGTTTTTGGTGTAAATCTTCCGCCCGTTTCAATTCGAGAGATTTAGATTATTTATTCACTTCAGTATAAATAATTTATGATTATAGGAAATCTTCCACCTGTCTCTGGTACGGTGTTTGACCTTAGAGTACCTAAAACCCTGGGGGATGTCATCAATAAAGTACCAAATGCCAAAGGTTACGATCATAATTTCTGCGTAACCAAAGCTTCTTCGCAAGTAAGATATTTCCCAAAGTATGCAGAATCATCATCACAGGGTATTTTTTAGGAGCTGGCCTTTGTTGCCAAAGCCCACCATCCACCAAGTGGCAGAGTAATGGAAGTCTACAGTAATCAACCCGGCGTCCAATTCTACACCGGCAATTTCTTACCTGAGACAGATGTCAGTCAGGGAAAGGGCGCTGTCTATAAGAAACACGGAGCGTTTTGTTTCGAGACGCAAATCTATCCGGACGCCATAAATCACGTCAGTATTACTGGAGAACATCGAGAAGTTCAAATTGTTTTCAACATTTTATTTGTGTTTGCAGCCCAATTTTCCGAAGGTCGTTCTGTATCCCGGAGAAGAATACCACCACTCGACGGTATTTAAATTTTTGATTGAAAATTAAATATTATTTTTTCAATAAACACCATGCAAAATTTTGGTTCTAAAATTTCGCGGTTTTTCCTTATTTTAACAGTTTTAATTTTTATGGGACCCCTGAAGTAAGAAATGCAATGAGCAAAAATTTCTTAGTTTGATAATGAAAAAATAAAAAACTGAAATACTTTTAATAATATTTAAATAAAAATTTTATTGTTTCTCGCGTTCCTCTTTATCATTTCCGATATTCATTGCCTTAATTTGCAAAAAAATATCTCCTCAAATGCGCCTGAATATCAGCCATATGGTCAAATAAATAATTATACAAAAACTTTTCACTATTTCAAGCCGTCATATAATGATTTTAAAATTCCTGTTTCGAAAAACTTTAAATTTTATATTTATATATGTATTTACAGTTGATCAAATTTTGAAAAAGAGGGTTTAGGAGAGTTTGATTAACCTTGTGTTGCCATATTTTAAATTATAAAATATCGCGTTGTTAGGTTAAAAATCAGAGATATACAAAAAACTGGGTGTAGATCTGCATTTTAGTCCAATGGTCAGTTTTAAAATATATTGTTTGGAATCATTTCAAAAAAACACAGTATTCTAAAACAATTAATAGTACAAAATGTTCTCGAGTGACTTATGTCCAACGGATAAACAAACCACTCGATCGTTTGAGCTCAATGAAAAATGTGAAAGGAACAATAGAAGTTTAGTAGCAGATTGATTGACAATAAGTAGCCACTATGCACTGAGCTAGAAGATCTTTCATTGACCCTTTACATTTTCTATCAAACTGCGACGATCCACACACAATGCTTTGTCATTTGACTGCGTGAGAATGACGTTTTCCAAAGTGCTTTCGCCGCTGGTGTGTAGATGAATATATATAATATTTTAAATAAATGCTGTCCCTTGGCTGGAGTTTCTTGTCAAATTTGATTTGTTTATGGAGCTTTCGAATACTCTTGGGTTGTTTTTTTATTTGTAGTTCATTACTTTTGTACCCACTCTATATGATTGTTATTATTATTATGAATAGCTTTATTGCTATAAGCTTGCACTTACATATAGACATATGTATGAAAAACATACAGCTAACCATAAGAGTGCAGACATCTGGTGATCCGGATACGGTTCAGCTAGTGGCTCTGTACTTTAGTAACCATTGCTGCCTACAAGTGTTATTTAGTTAACAACGTTACAAAAACAATTTTGTTTAAGACACAGTGGTGATCGTTATAAGACATTTTAAAAATAAATTTATCGATCTATCTTTACGACACACCTGTTTACAATGTTTAATATTCCACAAAACTGTGATGCTCACAATAGCTTCGATCGTATGATTATTGAAGAGTTCACCGAGCACCTTACGTAGAATACAAATAAGGTGCGTCCAACATGACCGATAGCATATTTATGGCGAAGAATTATAAAACGGTTAGATTCGTCGGCAAAGACAAGAACTGAAAAGCTGCGAATGCAAAACATGATCCCGTCTACTTTAACCTGTCGCTCCCGTGACCGATCTGGCGTAACGTTGCATGGCGGGATATTTAATTTTCATAACAATAACAAAAACGCTTAGATCCGTATAGCGCTAGATCAAACGGACGTGCCAAGAACTTCATCTTCGTCATTGCCACTAACAGGCCATTTATAATAATTTAAGTCGAATAAAATGACAGTTCCAAACCCCGAATAAGGATTCATTCGAATGGAATTAAACGATTTGGAGGTGCGAGGTAATGCGAAGCACAGTGGCGTGGGTTTATCGACTGTTACTTTTAAAACACAAGCGAATATTCGCACTGAGGTCGCGTTTAGCGAAAATATGCCAAAAGGGTGTGTAAACTAATAGTAATTACAATGGAAGTTAGAAGTTTCATTACATAACGTTTAAGTTTACACTTAGCAGAGGGCAGCGATCCATTTGTCCGAAACGTTGTGAGCTCGAAGTTCTTTTAGTACCAACGCTGAAACATTGCCACATTCAGAGAAACGCGACAAAAAGTCTTTTCGAATGGAATGGTGATGCAAAATCCGAAAAATATTTTTTACCAACAGTATAATGGGCAAAATCTACTAAATGAAAATATGGAGCCTTACATAAAATAGTGAATAAATTTGTCATAATTAGATGTAATTAAGTTACTAATTATTATAATTAACGCAAAGTACTATTACAAATATTAAAATTTCTACCAGTTAACAAAAGCCGAATCAAAATAATTGAAAATATTAAAACAAACTGGGTCATTTAATCTAGAAAATATCCTGGAAAAATCGTAGAACCTTAAAAAATCACTCTAAAGTTCTACTAAACTGATTGATTTTTATTTATTTTAATACTGTTTTCAAATTGGAAGAATTGATCAAAAATTTATCATTGCTCTTAAAGATAGCAAACCCGACTACTTCCTGATTCAATCTTACCCATTTGCTAGACATCGATGTCGCATAAATATTAAAGTTTTAAATCAAAGTAATATTTCAAAAGGGGCCCACCTCTTGATTGAATTGCTGAGACAGAAAAACAAGCTTGACCTCGTCTACACCAATTTACTGAAAATAGCGTTAAAATTCAAATATTCAATTATTCAGATATCGTCCATATTTAAACAGCTCTGGGAATCACCCAAATTATAAATAAACTAAAAAATGGTATTATCGTCAAATGTCAAACCAAAAACTTGTCGGAAAAATATTCTCTTCGCTTTGACGAATCTATATCAAAACACTGGCTGTTAGCAAATTTGTATCCAACGCCAATTGTGTGCAACATTTGTAAAATTTGATTTATGGTTACTGCCATATTTCATAAATACTATATTTTGTGAATAAAATCGTAAACGTATTTACTCTAAAATTGTGGTGATTAATTTCATCCCTTCTGTCTGTACATACGAGGTGTGTTCAAAAAGTAAGGTGACTTGTAATTCGGCGGGCAACGTCCATTCGATGTTCGATTTTTTTTTGTTATGTTTGTGCATATGCCCTTAACATATATTGCACGCTTACTATTTTTTTGTGAGACAGAAGCATTTGACGTCTATTGTGCGCTGGGCGCATAAAATTTTGTGTACAAAATGAAATACAGTGCTGGAAAACACCTGCAATATTGACAACGGCATATGGCGAATCTACTTTGAGCAAAAAAAATGTTTATAAGTGCTACAAGCTGTTATTAACTTATGCATACGTTGGAGAAGTGAAAGAAATGGTAGGGTGGCTAAACACGTCGGCATCTCTACTGGCTCGTGCTATGAAATTTTCAAGGGCTATTAAACGACGTCAATGATGATCCTGATACGTCAAGGTTTTGCTTTCTTTGTTCTCTTTGATTATTGTGGCGTACATCAAGAGGTTTACGAGAAGCAAGAAGTAAACGTCCGGAATTGTAGGAAAACAAGTGATGGATTTTGCATCATGATAATGCACCTGCTCACTTAATGTTGCTTTTGTCTAACTTTTTGGTAAAAAAGAAAAGCACAATCATGCCTGAGGCACCATATTCACCGGATATGGCCCTCTGCGACTTCTTCCTGTTCCCAAAACTCAAGAAATCCTTTAAAGGAAGGAGATTTGGAACGATTGAGGAGAAATAGAAAACATTGCTTGAAGGGCTCAAGGCTATACCAGAAAGTGCTTCGAGGTTTTGGAAAAACGTTTTCTCGTATATCAGGTTTCGACTGACCTTAAGAAATCATTTAGATTTTAACATATCAGATGCCAAGGCTGGGCTCAAAAGTAGCATAATTGGAAGTAGCGATAAATTAAAAAGGAACGCAACATGATTAATAAAAGTCAAAATTGGATAGGCCGTTTTCATTCGAGCTACGATTTATATACTAAAATTTATAGTCGATCATTTATCGAAAAGAGACTTATAATTGATAGCCTGTTGGTTTTTATTAATGTTGCTCGAGATTGATTGCGGTTGTTATTACATCGGAATCACTGCCAGATGATATTCTCCGATGTGCCATTCATTGGTTCACGATCGACTTCTTTACTTACTCTTAAGGTTATAATAAAAATCGATATCGGCGTCCTAAAATCAAAATGTATTAGTTACCCTGATATGTGTTTCATCTTCATCAAATTGACAATGAACAAGCACTGCCAGCGCCGCAGTTAAAATATAAAAAATATTAATTACAAATTAAATTAAATTAAATTAAAATAATAAATTAAATATAAAAAACCATTGGGGTTGTCAAGCTGCAATTTGGGGGATGCCTACTGCTGTTTAGGTTATTTTCTTCCCTCTAAAATATTTTAAAGCGTTTTATAAAATATGCATGGGGCTAGTATAATAATATTTTTTAGGTATTTACTACTCACAAAATTTAGTTTCAAAATAATTAACAGTCATTATTCCGCAAAATAGTTTCAAAATTACTTAGAATAATGTATAAACAGCAGCATTTGATTTACTTGAAACAATATTGCCTTTTTTTATACCAAACTGTTTTAAAAATATCATTTTTGCCCAAAAAAGAACCAAAACTTACATTTTTCAATATTTCAATTTTTCCTAGAAATCAGCTAAACATTTTCCTGTATACTCTCACTATATGAAAATTGAGAAGTAACTTCGGAAGGGACAAACCCCTAAATCAAAATGCGGACGTACAACCTAGGAAACGTCGACCCGACAAACACTTTATATATAATAATTTCACCAGTAGACAGAAGACGATATACCACAAGTTCATTTTCGACATTTTACAACTGAGTTCCTTAATCGACGGCTTAACATGGTCGTTCATTTATAAAATCGGCAAACTTCCGTCGCCTACGCGACAGCTTTGCATGGCGTCCGATTGCCCGTCAGATTTATATCACACGCATTTTTTTTTAATGACAGAGGTTCAATGGAGCGTTTTGTGTCGTAAATCGGCTTAACTAGCGCTTGAAGCATTCCGTTTTAAAATGTATTCTTTGAGGGGCAGTGGCGTCCTTACGTGGTAATTACCAATTAAATGAAAATAAAGCTAACCGATTTCCTGTGGCAAGTTTGCCAAAAGTGTTTCTTATAACGAATGCTGAACGATTAACCAAAGTATTCTTATTCTCTTGAAATTAACATCAATTACTAATT